ATTTACATGATTAAGGTTCATATTTAATTAAGTCTAACACACTCTGTATTGTTTACAATAAATCAGTTTGATCAAGCTGAGTATCTTCATCTACTTTTACTGTTTTCATTTAATCTCAGTAAGAATTTTTATCTTTTATTTTTTGCTTTAATCTGAATGTATTCCTACGTACCTTACCTCCAGCCTTGGAAACTGATTGATTCATGTGGACACCTATTTCCCCTTCATGGATTTCTGTTTCTTTGGATATACTTAGAGATGTTTCCTATGCATGATATTTTATGTTTGCTTTATGCTACTATTTTTCACTTAGGGTAACCTTTTAAAAATGGTTTTTGAAGTATTTAAAAATGATGAAAAATATTTCGTAATAAGAAACAATATCACTTTTTAAAGAGAAGTACACGACCAGAAGAGTGATGTGTTTACCATTCCTCAATATATACTTTTGCTTTTTTTGTCTTTTTAAGAGTCATATCCTTTGATGCCTTCTTAATTGTGCTTATTCCTTTCTTTTCCAGGACTTCTGGAAGCAGTCATTTCTGTCATTCTTCATCCCAGTGTGGCAGTTAGACTAACAGCAGCTTGGTGTTTGCGCTGCGTGGCAGTAGCGCTGCCGTCCTATGCATCCCTGCTGTTGGATCGCTGCATTGACCGTCTCAGTGCATTGAAATCCTCCCCAGAGGCAGTTACTGGTTATAGTTTTGCTGCTGCTGCTTTGCTGGGTGCAGTAAAACTCTGTCCTTTGGGAATTCCACATGGGAAAGGGAAGGTATGGTTCTAACACTTTACTTAGAGGCAGTTCTTTGATTTTTTGATAGTATTTGTATGTATTATGTGGTTTATAAAAATTGTATTCCCCAGTATAGCCATGTGATGTTTCATTTTCCCAAAGATTTTTCCAAACATCTCATAATTCAAGTGCTTACCTCTGAGAAATATTTTTCTCAGATGTGTCACAAAACAACTTATCAGGATTGTGAATTTCTTAAAATAAGTTCTATGTCATTAATGCCTCTGTTAACCACTCAGTCTGCTCTCTTGGAGGAGACTGGAAAAGTGTTATGTATTTCTGCTCTGTCTTGGGTTAGAAGTCAATTCTGTGCTTGTGGCCCTGTTTCTCATTGTCTTAAGCTGGCGTGCTGACATTTCTTTTTCCTGTGAGCTTCACAGCAGTGTTAATGATAAGAAAAAGATGGACTGAATTACACCCGAAATGTATCGGGTTTGGCAAAGGAAAAGATTTTTCTTTTATAAAATGAACTGGCCAGGTACAAACAGATCTGTATGCTGAAACGTTGGAAATCTAAGTTTCTCAGATGGAAACCCGTTTAACCACAAATTAACCAAAAGTATTTCCCATTCCCACCTGTGATTTTCCAGTATACATTTTTGTCAGTACTTAAACCAGTTAATAATTCTGTAATATCTTGAAAATCTTTAATCAAGTCTAGGAAATATCTTCATGTTGTTTAATAAAATTTAACAGAAATGAAATTCTTGAATCAGTGTAGTATAAAGCTCCTTCTGATCTTTCCGCCAGCTTATACCATACTCTGAAGTTCTAGAGTTAGAGATATCCAAATATGGAAATCAAGGCTAGAAGCAGAATCAGTTAATATCTGCACAGGAGCTGTATCCATTTCACAGCTGGAAAATCGTGATGCAGCACAAATACCAGCAGTGCCTGTGATCTCCCTGCATTCTATAGAAACTTACCTTCTCGTTGCTGAAAACGCCCATTTCAGAGCCAGGGGTCATCAGGGCAGTAAAGTGACAGGCCTTGTGTTGATACAAGTATTCTCTCTCTCCAGCTATTGCCCCACTGAAAGATGAAAGGAAGGCTTTAATCTATTGCAAATACTGCCCTTGTAGTAAATCCAGCCCTCGTCTTCAGTGCTGTTGAGTAATAACAGTTAGACAGCACTTACGAATTTTCATTGCTATTTAAAATTCTCAACGTTCAAGATCCCAACTGCTGATGAAATAATTTTTAGCAAAAGGAAGAATCATTGTGTGTGTGTTTGTGTTAGATTTAAAAATACATTATTGAGTGTTTACCTACCAGACAAGGGAGAGAACGAAATGTGTGGTTTGCACAGATAAACAGTCAACTTTATGCTTAGGTATAAAGTATTTGAATGTCACTTTTTAACAGGAAAGCAAAGATTTCTTTTAGAGGAACAGAATAGGATCCAAGAGGGCCTGGAGAGAAGGCATGGGAGGACAGCGATGAGCAGTGTGAGAAACTGTATATTCTGCACCAAGCTGTTGTGAGGGAGAACAGAAGAGTTTACAAAAGCTCTTTTCCATTCTCTCCTGGGAAGACTGCCAGATTCCTAGCTATCTCCTTTTCAGAGGTACTGAGAGAGACCAGTGTTAAATAAAGCAGTTTTGAAAAGTAAATACCAAATCTGGACAGTGGTGACCTGGGCATAAGCCATATTATGTTAATGCACTTTCCTTTTGCAAGAGAGTGGTTAGAGTTGCAGGCTCAAGTGGGAAAGAAGCAAAATAATCAAGTGTATATATATATTCATAATTCTGTGCTAGTTACTTATATTTTAGCTTTTAAGAACTCCTTCAAAAACAAGTCGTAAGTGTTAGTACATAGAACAGCTATCAGAAATCATTAAATGAAGCCCTTTCTTGGATGTTTGTTTATCAGGTAATCTGAATATACCAAGCTGTTAGTAACATTAAGTTATATCATCTACCAAGGATGCTGTTTTAATTTTTGGAATCATTTTTTTTTCACAATAATTTTTATTTTATCTATCAAAAATCCATCAAAATACATTTCTTAATTTGTAGACACCTGATAACATTATGGAGTTTAGGAAAACAATCTTTTCAGTTCATTAGCAGTTCATGCAGTTCTGTAACTGTGCACATGAATTACAGAAAGATACTGTCTATAGTGAGGCTTTTTAATAAAGTTATTGGTAATGCCACTTCCCATTTATATTTTTCATGTATAAGCAGTTTGTTTTTGCAATCGGACATGATGCAAGATACAAGAAATACATTTTGGCATCTGTGAAATATAACCAAAGGAAAGCATTTGCAGAATATTAGTACAAGTACTCGACGTTCTGTGGTGGATTTCCATGGACACGTGGTTCATCCATGTAAATGCTTTGTAGTCTGAGCTTTGGTAACAAGCACAAATTATTACCTTGCTTTTAGCACAATAGTAGGCCCATATGCAATTATTACAAAGAAGCTAAAATAGTGTTAACCCATGCCTTAGCATACCCTCCTAACTTGTTTGTTTAATCACACCATTTGTTTTTATAAGAACTGTCAGGAAAGATGATAGAATTTATCCTAAAATGTGGATAAAAAGCTTTTAACTTGCTCGGCCTTTTTGCTTACCTTTCATAGGTCTCAAGTTTTATTTTTTTTATTTTCTCTAGAGGCATAGATATGAAATCGGAACACTTAAAACCTTGCCAAAATCATGTAAATTTAGAAATTAAGGTTACTGTAGCCAGTAACAAAATATGTGGTGGAGAGTCCCAAGAACAGATGAACACACTGTTTGTGCACTGAGATTTTTCTCCCCTGAGCTAAGGCTGGAAAGGTGATTACAGTAGGCTTGTTATCTAGAGAAGTAGAAAATTTTGCCTGCCTGGGAAGGTGAGAAAAAAAAAATAGAGAAGGTAAATAGGATAGATAAAACTCTTCTGTCTGCTTGAGGCATCAAGGCTTGAGTGTTTATAAATAGCTTTTGGCTGGCCTGTAGTAGTGAGGCCAGAGAAAGTGCTTTTAGAAACTTTTTTATTCCTTACTTTGACTGAAAGGCATTTTTGGTCTCTACCTGTGATGCCACAGTCCAGGAAATGACTGCTTTGATCTCTTCACACTTAGCAGCAAACAATTTTCTCTCTTCCCAAGTCTTTCAACAAGCCAAGTTTTTTTTCTTTTTCCAGTTTTACCAATGCCATCTCCTTTTCCATAGCTTCCAGGGAAAACAAGCTTAATTTGCTGACTTTGTTAGGCATCTGATGGGTGTTCTCTGGATTGTTTTCATGAACTGCGTCTGACTTTGTCTGTCGTTCCTGAGATTGAGTCACAGGTAGATACGGTGTTGGAAGAAGTTGGCACGTCTTTCACGTTTTATCAAATTCTTGATCATTTCTTTGTTGCAATTTTGTAATTTTTTTCTTCTTGCATGGTATGATATCACTGAGCTCCTCTTGCGTGACTGTGTGATTGTAACACCTTCCAAAGGCCTTGGAGCATTAGTGTGTATATGCTTTCTTCTGTATAAGAGGGTGTTGGGGTTTTTTTGTTTTTAAGTAAAAGAATGTTTGTTTTCTCCACTGCAGTTCCTTGTTCTACGTTATCATCAAATCTTCTAACTGAGAAGTGATTTTCTGAGAATAAGGGACAGGTTAGAGATAGCTTTTAGGTTTATTGCTTTTAAACGATGCCAAACTGCTTTTCAACTTGTGTACAGTCTGCCCAAGATGCATTTGGGTCTTCCTGGAAAATTTGTTAGTTGTGTGGTGGTTAAGGTGCTGAAGGCATGACGTTTTTCGTTGAAACAAGAAATTGGAGGGCATTTGTCTGTAACTTAGTCTGGAAGTAGCCACGAACTGAATCATTTTAATTTTAAGCTGTATTTGATTTCCAGATGTAGTTCCTAAGATGCTCATATGCTTTGCTTTGTTGTTTGTTTTCACTTTGAAGGTCATCATGACAGTAGCAGAGGATCTGCTGTGTTCTGCTTCTCAGAACAGTCGCATTTCACTGCAGCGAACACAGGCAGGATGGATGCTGATAGCTGCCCTCATGACGTTAGGTAATAGATTTCTACAGTTTTTACTTAAACTAAGCTGTTTTGTCTTCTGTCTCTGACTTGATTTTTATGGTGTTTCATTCAACTTACTATTGCAAAATAATTCTAAAATAATAATTGGAAAGAATGAAAAACTTTCTGAAATAAAAATGTCATTACTTTGAAATTTTCTGTTAAGTCATGGGGAGTAATGTCTGAAAAAACAGTGGTTGGGTGGAGCCACAGTGAATTGAATATGAAATAAGAATGAGAGTATATTTCCCTCTTGTCAGACACTTGAAATATTTCTGAACTTTCTGATTCTTTCTGTAAATTACTTTCTCTAAATTACTCATGGCAAATTAATTTTTATCTATTTTGATCATATTTTAAGCCATCTTTCACATTTTCAGCTGTTACTTCTCTCTAAATCAGGAGAAACGAGTGGTTAGAATATACACTGTGCACAAAATTATCGCATGTTTGCTTTTCTGAACACCACTGCTGCTTATTAGATCGTTTTTATGCTGGTGCTGTCCTGGGTCTAAGCACAATAAGGCAGAGATTGCAGTTACCTGGGTGACATACAGTTAAGCCTTTCAGTGGGTACATAATTATGTATGAAAATGGAATACCAAAGCAATAAATAACTGAGAAATTTTATATGAACAGGCTGGGAAAGTAGCATAAAACTTTGTTGACATGCTTATCTGAAGTTTTGCTTGTCAAAGCAGTAATAGTTTTGTGAACACGGAAGAGAATTAAAGTGAACATTTTAATTATATGAATTCTCACATTGACATGTCAGCTCTCAATACTTAAAGGTCCTGCTGTTGTCCAACACCATCTGCCCAGAATACTGTTGCTGTGGAAGTGCATCTTTCCATCATCTCCTAAAGATCTAGAAACAGAGAAGACTCGAGGAGATTCATTTACATGGCAAGTAACGCTGGAAGGCCGTGCTGGCGCTCTCTGTGGTAAGAGGGATTTGCTGTGTCTTCCTCTGAATACTCTTAGTATTTGGTTACGCTTTTTCTTTTCCTTCTGAAAGAACAAGGATATTTCATGTTGATGTGTGTTGGGGATAGAGGGTGTGATAGAAGAGATGTGTGTGTATATGTGTTTGTGTGTGCATGCATATTTTTTTTGTAAAAATAAAGAAATAATGCATCATCGAAGATTTTTTTTTTCCTTTTCTAATCAGTTGATTTCTAATCTGTAGGTAGTATTAGGAAGGATGTTTCCCTTTTTTGTGTTTAACATACATATCACACTAGTATCTGAGGGCCTAAACTACGGTGTGGCCTGTTGTTTTTAGAGTCTACTGCATTTGGTAGATAAATGCGGCTTCCTAATAGCTGATTTTCTATAAACAGAATACAGTTAGTGGATGAATCAAACACTTTTGCCAGACTGAGAAGAATCAGGTAGAAAATATAATGAGATGTTTGTGAATGTCAGACAGTTAACAGTACTGTCTGCTTGTCTGCTACTACTGCCTAGTAAGTTGCAGTTTTTCATTGTGAAATATTTTCATTGTGAAATTGCACAATTTTTAATTGTGAAATTTCCAGTTTGGGTTTCCAAGAGACTATTCAAGTAATCTGCAAATACTTACATGTACTCTGGTGTGCTAAATGGTCCTGAGCGTAGCAGGAATAAATGCTCCAGGATAGTGATCATCCTTCTCTAAGTACTAAAATCTATTTGACAGTTTAGAATTAAACAGTACTTATGTTTTTAAAATAACCTCTAAACAGTTATTTTTTAAATGTTTGTCATTTTTGATAATACAACTGTATATTCTCTATGTGAATTTTCAAATACCAACTCAAGTTTGTTTTTTATAAATAATAAGAAAAAAATAGAGTGCAAATGAATTGTTTCTTGTAGCACAGTAGTTAAGCTAAATTCAAAGGAAAAACTAGCAAGTTAAGTGGCAGGTCGTCTAGTCATCCCAAGTCATCTAGCTACCATACCTCTTCCCCCCAGCCCCTGAATACATGGACTTATCTCGCATAAGTCAACTAGTAACACAGCAAGAAATGTTTGCAATTCCTGTATGCAGTTGGAAGTCAAAGTACTAACATGCAAACTGAGATACCAAAACATATAATCAGTAAATAAGATTTTCATTCAATAGTTTCTTAAGTTATGTGTCAAAATGATTTTTTTTTCTTCCATTCTAAATGATTAGTGAAGTAATGGTGTAATTTTCCACTGTCTCCCATCATCTAATTCAAACTGAGTTAAAATCCAATTCCTTTCTTAGCTATCAAGAGCCTTGTTTCCCACTGTGCTGGTCTGCTTACAGATGAAGTTGTTCAGAGACTTCTCCCTCCTCTCCCAAGTGCTGTTGATTTATTGATTCAGTAAGTATATCAAAATGTTAAATGGGATTCTGGAAAAAGCTATAGAACAGTCCAGTATTTTTAATTTAGTGAATTGTCTGAAGAACTATTCAAAGTACAGTAATTATGGAATTCAGCTCTATAACTGAACTTGCTGTAGTCTTTAGTTGCTGTAGTACTGTGTCTTGAAGATTTCGGTGTAATGTTAGGAAACTGGAGAAGAAATTATGTTGTGCTTTTGATAAGTGAATGTCTTTAATGGTATATTTGGTTAAAGAAGCAAAATAATGTTATATATAATATTAATCAAATGAATGCATGTGTCATTGGTTTTTATAAAATAAAAGAAACACAGTTCAAGAGTATGCTGGTATGTAAAGTTTTATAGATGGTCTTTTTTTAAACTTTACCTCACTTTAGAATGTGTAGTGATTTAATATATTTGGGCTATAAACTCAGAGATGTATCTGCAAAAAGGTAATTTTAATAAATATTAATACAGCCTAATGCAATCAAAAAGGTTATTTATTTCTTTAGTATTAAATAAAAATAAAGGCTGGGAATGGACAAAGGAGAGGTTCTATCAGAGGATATGAATATAATTTTTTGTTTGTTTCTGCTATCAGTAATGTAAATCAGAACTGTAGTTATAATAAGCACAGTTTTTAGGTATTCAGTAGAGTTTGGTACAGGTGAAACCAGAATGTTCAATAGTACTTAATTTCTTTCTAACCTCTATGATGTGTTTTTTATATCGTAAGGCTTTCTTCAATATATAAATTATATGGAAATTCTTTAAAAACATCATCAACGGTTTACAGACATAAACTTTATGAATTACTGGCAGTATTACCTCCAAAGACTTATGAAGGTATGCATTTTCTTACAAATATATGTTCACTAAAAATACCATGAGCTCATTTGTAAATTTTCATTCAGTATCTTTTAAGCTAGCAGGATTTATTTCTCCTTTTATAATATGTAAGTTGTATTCCCTCTATTTAGATTTGATTAAATCACAGTGAAATCCGTGTGCTTTCCTGCCCCCTCCCTTTTTCCTCTCTCTTATTAAAAATTCAGATATTTTTCTGATTTTAGTTAAAACTTGAAAATAGACAATCTTGAAATTATAACTTATTTGAAGAATTGACTTACTTTGATACCATTCTTTTTTACTACTGAATCCAAAATTTGAAAGCCAAAATCTCAGAAAAAATTATTAGCAAAATTTCAGAAAAAATCTTAAAATACACTGTTTTTTGTAGCCAAACATATTTGAAATCCATCTAATCAGTGATGCACTATAGTTAGACTAATCTATGAACTTAAACATTAAATACTTTTGTCATTTTAACGTTGTCACATGAATTTAGTTTGCCATGAAACATTAGACTGAAAAAAAGGGAACTAGGAGTTGATTCTCTCTGTCCTGAGAGACTCTTGCCCATCCTGCCGCTGAATTGACTGTGTCCTCGTTATCATGGAGGAAATACTTGCACAGTCTGCTCCATCTAGTGGTAACAGCTGAACGGATCTTCACAGGAGCAAATCCCTGAATTCTTTGCCTTAAAGCTTGTATTCAAGTCTGAATGTAACACTTGAAGGATGGTCTATCATATTCAATTGTGAAGTGAATTTAGAAGACCAAAAATGAGACCTCCATCCTTCACAAAAGGAGTTATTACTTCTTTTGTTCTTTTGTTACTGGAACAAGTTTTTATAGAATACAAGTACCTGGGGCTGGGTGGTTTTTTTGAGCTTTTTGTTTGTTTGGGATTTTTGCATGTACTGTAACTATAATGAAAATTGGACAGTATTGTACAATGTGACCTGTTATGTCTGAGTCTTGAGAGATCTGTGTCCTAGCTGAAGGTGTTGTAATTTAAAGCCATTAAAAGAAAAGGCCTTCAAATGCTTCAAGTACTGAAAGCTTTGTAAATAATCTTGAAAGCTCATGTCTTGAGGATCTGTAGAATAACTTAAAAGTAAATTCTCTTTCAGAAATATAGCGGGAGTTGTTCATCCATTTGCAATGCAGCACTGTGAAATGGGAAGGAATGGGAATAAATATATATAAATATATATATATACACACACACACACACACAAAGTTTATTTTCAAGGTCCTTCGTATATTTAACCATGTAATTCTGCATTGTACCTAAAAGCTAAACAAGCTTTTAAGGTAAAGCTTAGAAGGCATAGCTTTCTTTTCTTTCCAATAAGACAACTTCACGAAGAATTTGAATGTCATTGTAAATATTAGGATTTTTTTAAAATAAGTTATATGAAAAAAACAATATGATTATGGAACCCATGATGATTTTTTTTGGTATCTGATTTTAATCATGATCACTAAGAAGAATAGTAGATGCATTCTTGTACTGTACAGTTGAGCATGTTTTTGATGGCTCAGCCAAAGACAATGAGAAACTTTTACAAATTCTTGGCTTCTTTTTTTTTCCTTTATTTTGATCAAGATAACTAACCAGAGGCTTGCAACCTGCAGGTTCCTTTTTGAAAATATTGATGATGAGGTCAAATACTAGGACAGTATTAAGTATTTGCAGGGAATGTACAAAGACAGTTCCCCTTGAGTACAAGGGGAACAAATCAAAATACCCAACAATATAAACAGTAGGAAGCAGATTGTCTTTTTCATAGCTCCAAGCCTCTTAACCTTTAGATTTCTTACATCCATGATCTTAGGACTTCCTTACTTTCTGCTTGGTCCTTTCCTGCTCTCTTTCTACCACTGTGATATTTTCTAGTATTTTCTGTTATCAGCAAAATCAGTATCTGTTCAAACAGCTGAAATATGAAGGCTTATGCTGGTGAGCATCAGTGAGTAGTAACTAATTTTTCACGTGATTTTAGCAATGTGAAATATGAGGATATATATCAGTTTTTATTCATGGATCAGTGAAAAATATTAAACATGTTGTAACGCTATTTTTTTGTCATAGGGAAGTGTTCAGTCTTTGGAACTTAGTTGGTGAAAAGCATGAACTTTTCAAGCTGGAGTAAATTGGTCATGCTTCTAGGATGATGATTCATATGCTTAATCATTTTCTTATGTATTGTTAGTTTTGAATGACTATGTGCTTATGTTTGTGAGGCAAAGCCATTTATTTTCTGAGTTAATATAAAAATTTAGTTATAATATCCAATATGAGAAGTTTCACAGAAGAAATTTCAGTAGTTTGAATGTTGTTCATTAGATTGTTGCCATTTTCTGTGATGTGAAATTAATGTTTTTGGCAGCCAACTCATTAGGGGACTTTTCATTCCTTACCTCTTTGTGCTCTCTGTTCCACTGAAGCACTGGGTTTGTTTTCTTAGCGAGACAAAGATGAATAGTTAGGACTCTGGCTCAAAATTCTGAACCGCTTTGCACTGGGCTAATAGTGTTTGAAGTATTGATGATGGCCAAGTGGGCCATCCTGTGGAACTGAAATAAACCTTTATTTGGTTTACATTAGTCTGGTTAAAAGTTGCTGAGTATCTCTCTCAGGTCTGATTTGGAAAGCTGTTTTCACAAAAGGAAGATTTTTCAAATTTTAGTTTTGCTTTGTAATTTATAATAAGTCATTAAAAAACAATGTGTATTTGCTATTCAACTATTACTGTAATGTCTGTGCTATAACGTCTGTGCATCTGTAATATATTTGATAGTGTTAATCTTTAATATATAGGTTTAAGTTGAGCAATTTGGAAAAAAAATGATATGCTGGTTAATTTTTAATGGAAGTTAAAAGAAGCAAGAGACGGAAGTTTAGGAACAGAGGCAAAATAAGCCTTCAGGGAAGAGAGGCTGAAGGAGGCAGAAAGGAAGAGTGGGGTAGGGGATAGGCGGGCGGATGGTGGAACTTAAAACCTTTTCAAATAAAGCCAGACCTCACTCAGGACTAGAATATGATCCCCACTTTAAAGATTGCTGCAGATCGCTATTCAAGATCATTATTTTAATAGCCTAAAATAGTCTGATTTTGAATGCCTAATATTATTGTTCTGCATGATGATATTTGTTTAACTTTGACATTTTATGTACAAAAATACATGAAAGTTTGAAGTACCAGTGCAAATTATCATCTTGTAATCTACAGTAAATTCCTTAGGTTTCTTTGCTGCTTGCAGACTTCTGAGATAAGAGAATATATTGTACAGCTTTCAGATAGTTACCAAACTAGTGAATGTTTAAATTACACCTACTTGCCAGGCACAAGTATTCCTGTGTGGTTATGTAATACATTCCACAGCAAAATTTTCAGAAAATTTATAGTTGAAATATGGTTCTCCTTGTACCTGCCCGCCTTCCACTGAGATCATTAAGAGTTTTATGGCCTTATGCCGTAATTGGCATTTACATATGGCATTATGTAAAGGTAAATGCGACTGATTTTCAGCTTCTTGATTGCTGTATTTCCTTTCTTTGCTTAACTTGCCATGATGCTTCACTGGTTCCTTGCAAGGAGAGAGTGTTCTTTTCCAGTTAACTTTGAAGACCTTAGTCGAGGACCTTAGAATAATGTTAGATGGATGTCGCAATTTTAGTTTAAATGTCCTTTTTAAGCAACAAATTTGCACAGGGCAAATAACTAACTGAAAATTGTGAATATTTTCCTGTTTAATTTAAAGGAAGCTTCTCTGTTGTTCTAAAAGAGCTAGTGGCTGACTTGACTGTTCCAGATAGCCAGATTGATGCCTCTACATTTTTGCTTCCACCTCTTTGTCATGAGAACGATCTCCTTCTGCTTGGCCCCTTACTGCAGGAGACTGACCACCGATTCATTGAAGAGCAGGTACTTTCTGGTCTATATTTTCATACAATTCTCATTATTTGGGCTAGTGTTTGTTTAGACTTGGTCAAACTATTTTTTTTTTAATCCCTCTTACAGCTCCTCTTAGGTAACAACATAGCTGGAGGCAGCCTGGAATATGACCCTTACTCAGTTTATGAGAAAGCTGCAAAAGGGGATTCAGTGCCTAAACCTCTACCTCCCATGTTGTCTGTGATCAGTGCAGCAACTCGTCTGTTTGGAGTTATATTTTCCCATGTAGCAGAATCTCAGAGGTAAAGGAGTAGCTTCAACTGTTGGGGATTTGGACATGCTAAAAGATTATCAGTGTATTTGTAATTGCTAAAAGAGTATCAGTGTATATTCATAACGTAACCTGTTCTACTATGGAATACCAAAAAAAAGAGAGGGTTAGACAAGGAATGAAGGAATATGCTTGAGCCTTAGGATAATGTATTTGTTCCACCTCTGTTTCTGTAATATCTGGACTTTGTTGTGTGTTTTAATACAGGGCAAAAAGCTTGATTAGTTTCTCTGTTTTTAATTTTGTTTTGTTCTGTTTTTTATTTTAAGACTTCAGGTGTTGGAACAGTTGTTGGATTCTATAAAACAAACAAAAGGATCACGGCAACAAATAGTACAACTAAACGTTGTGTCAGCCTTTTCTACTTCCTTAAAGGTATATCTCCTGCCCCTCACTCATGTGCTCGCTGTGCTCTGCTCCTTCGTGCTCTGAACTCTCACGCTCCTGTGCGGTCTGCCTTACTCTCCATAAAAGGCTGATTCTGAAATAAAAGCAATGATTTCTTTTAAAGTAATCTCATAATTATTTACCACTTCTTGCTTTAGCCTGATATTTTATTCTTTTTTTCATTTTGCTCGCCTGTAGTTTTCACTCTTCCCCTCTTTGGTTGTCTTCAGACTAAGATTAAAATGTTTTCCTAACAGAAGAGCTTTTTGTTGTGGTTTTTTTTATCCCTCCCCTAATCCCATTTTGGCTTTATATTGCAGGAGAAAAGTACTCTTTTTGGTGTCTCACTATAGTTGACTTTCAAGTGGCATTCAGAGACACTTGAATATGGAAATTCTAGTTATCTGAAATAACTTCATCTTACTATTTTATTTTTGATGCATACGCTTAATTTGTCAATGACACTCAAGGCCATATTCAGATATCACTTAAGTCTCTGCACACCTATTGTCTGCCTCTAAAACGGAGGGGCTCTTGTGATAAAACAAAGCTTGAAATTCAATTAAGTAGAACAAAATACTGCAAATGTTGCCGTAATGCCCTGAATTTGAAAACAGTATTGTCCAATTGCTGGCCTATGTAATGCACTTTCCATTACCAAAATATGATTTTAAAGTATAGAGAGGAGAGAACCAGATTGCTCTTTGTGATGTTTTAATGTTATATTGTAGTTAATTTACTGCGTTGGAGTGCCATTTTTTCTGTGTAGTGCGAGCATTGCTTTTAGATTCTACATACTGGGGTGTTCCTTGCTCGCAGCTCCTGAACCCTGGTGTTCCAGCACTGCTGCACCCGAGTATGGTTTTAAGATATCTAAACAAGGAGGGTGTTATCTGTGAAGTTTGGTAGCCCTGTTCCCTATAAGGATGCCTGCTGAGTGCCTGGATTGGAGCTCACCTTGAAGGCTTTGCAGGCAGGTTTGCAGGGCTTCACACCTGAGCAATAATCCTAGGAGGCACTGGGTGCCTCTGTATTGCACTAGATGTATTTGCATCTGTAGCATGTTTAACATGCAGTTCAGGTGACTGCTCTAGGTCTTGCTCATGCTGTTTTTTTCTGACTGGAACTTTTGTTTGTGACATTATTCTATTTTCATTGGGTTTCTCCTTGATATTACCTCCTGAATTGAGGTCTTGGTTTATTGTCTACTACTGCTACTACTGTTACCACAATCTATCTCTCTTTTTTTTTTTTTTTTTTTTACCATAATGCTGGTATTATAAGGTTCTGAAATAATATCCATTCATCTAGAGTTATTCAATGTTTGGAGATTTTGAAATATAAAAGCAGAGACATTCTTCAGATAAAAGGGGGCAAAAATCAAATTCCTTCTGCAGGTTTTAGAGTTCTGTATAAGTGAATGAAAAAATATCCTGACTATTGCACTGTCTTGCTGTTCAATATCTGTTTTTAGCACTTGGCTAGCTGCAAGGGAAATTTAGGTCCAGAAGAAGTTAGAAGATCTGCCCTGACGTTAGTAATGGGTGCCTTGGAAAGCAATAACCCGCTGTTGAGATGTGCTGCTGCAGAGTGTTTGGCCAGGCTGGCACAGGTGGTTTCTGACAGTGCCTTCACTGCTGGATTAGCACAAGTTAGTTTTGACAAGTAAGTTCAAAAAATAAAGCAATCAGTTTATAAAAATGCTTGGGTAATCTACCTGATTGCCAGAATTATAACAATTTTAAGAAAGGTCATAAAAGGTAGTTTCTTTGATGAATTTTTGTCAGTTAAATTAACATGAAAAAGCCCTGCCAGACTTTTGCATGTAGATCATGCTTTGGCTTCTGTTTAAGAAGACTGTTTAAGTAAGCACATAGACATTTGAATAAAGTGGCTGCTGTTCTAGCTATGTCTTTTAAATATATGTTCGTGTTTCTTTCAGTGATGATAAATGAAACTGTATTTTTGACAATATAGGAATGTCTAATAAAGTATTTTGTTCATCACATACCAGAAATTCCATTTATAAATATGCTTATTGCACAGTACCAATATTGTTGATTACACTAACATTTTTTTTTCTTTTTTTTTCTTCTTTTTTTCATTATAACTCATAGGCTAAAATCAGCTAGGGATGTGGTATCAAGAACAGGTCATTCTTTGGCTTTGGGATGTCTGTACAGGTACCTCGGAGGAATAGGTTCCACTCAGCACCTGAATGCATGTGTTGGAATCCTTTATACCTTATCTCAGGACAGTACTTCTCCTGATGTACAGGTAGCCATTACTTATCTCAAAGTGTTATATTACAAGTTATCTGTAAACTTTGTTTTCAGGATTAAAAGCTGTTCTTTCCTCTAAAAATAACACTTCATAACCTGTTAGCCATAACTCACGGTCGATGGCTGGAGCAGCATCTCTTTACTGGAAAGCGCAGCCTCAGCTCAAAATCTGCCTGCCAGTAAATAACAGTGGTTTATAGTCTGAATGCTGTAGAACTTGGTCAGTGGTTCCCTGAATGAAGCAAGATGTTTTGAAGAGTAATTCAAATGATTTCTCCTTGCCTGAAACTGTTATGTATAAGAGAAGCTTTAACAGACATTGAGTATAGTTCATGTATTTGTTTAAATCTTAATTAAAGGATTTTTTTTCTAAGCTTTATCTACTGTGTCTTTGGCATGGGTACTGGTGAAAAATTAAATACATTACAGTTCTAAAATAAAAGGTTGCTTCAGCCACTCATATTTTTGCTGTTCTATTGTCCTTTCACATGGAAATATAAGAAATTTTAGGAACAGTATTTGAAGAATACTCCTACACTATTCCTTTTTCTGGAAATCAACAGGGTCAAGATTAGAATAGTTCTTTTATTGCAGAACCTAGACGACTTCTTAAAATGACTTATCAAGCGCCATCTTCTCTACAGTTCTGTGTATGTCTCTTTGGAATCTCAGGCTCTTGGTTTTACTTGCTGAGTTCTATTTGAGTTAGCAAATTTTAAATGATTTAAATGATTCTGTGTATGTTCTATTTCTTTGAGAAATATTCTATTTCTTTGGCTGCTTCTCTTATTTTACAGGCTTGGGCGCTACATTCCCTGTCACTGATCGTAGATTTAGCAGGTCCCTTGTTCCATATGCACGTGGAACCTACCTTATCCCTGGTTCTCATGTTGTTGTTGACTGTGCCTCCTGCTTACACTGAAGTTCATCAAAGTCTGGGTCGCTGTTTAAATGCACTTATTACTGCCTTGGGCCCCGAGTTGCAAGGTACAGTATTATACAGCAGTATTGGGGTTTTTTTAGATTTAGAAACAAAATTACTAAATGTTGTCTGAATGTATAATTGAAATTTTAAAATAAATGTGTGTTCATGTGTGCCCTTCTTCTAAACCAGGTTATGGGACATGAGTTCGTGCAGTCAAGATGGCATGACCGCTACTTTTCAAAAAAAGCCTTTCTTTTTGAAATCTTTTTCCTTGTTGTTTAAACAAGTTCCCCAAACCCTCATTTGGCCAGTCAGTTTTTATTTTTATCCTGAAAACAAAAGTTATATTTCAAGAGTTAGGAACCAATGTATGTTTGATTAATGATATAGACATTTAATATGTGGCCACCTGAAATCATGCGTCTAAATTAAACTTTAGATACCTGGATACTGAAATTTTCACAGAGCAGTATGACCTTTGTGTATTGATATCAGAGTACAATGCAGACACTGGCAGTGTAGTAGCCTTTAAGAGGATGAGATATGGCTGACTTGGGGCAAGGGGAAACTGGGGGGGCTCTTAGATTTAGAAAGAAAATTTATGCTACAAAGGTTTTATTTGTTTTGTTCTGTTTGTTTGTTTCCATCGGGATATAGGCAGCAGTAAAACAGTTTCAGCCTTAAGAACTTCTTGTCTTCTGGGCTGTGCAGTGATGCAAGATAATCCTGACTGCCTTGTCCAGGCTCAAGCCATCTCTTGCCTTCAGCAGCTTCACATGTTTGCTCCTCGACACGTCAACTTGTCTAGCCTTGTAAGCTGCCTGTGTGTGAGTATATGTTTACTGATCTCTTGTATATGAAAATATTTCATCCAGAGACATTTAAAAAAGGTAGACAAATTTTTAGTGAAACTAATTCTGGTGTAGGGGAGCTATTTTAATGGCCAGTATTTTCCTCCACTGCTTTTATATCTCAACTGGAAAGATTGATTTAAAAAGTCTGCAAATTCCTGATTTTCATTTTTTGGTTGTGTGTGGTGGGTTTTTTTTGTTTTGTTTTTGTTGGGTTTTTTTGTTTTGTATTAAATAGTGGGGGAAAACACCTCTGACTTTCCAATTTTAATTGTGAACGCTTCAATGTACCGACTTCTTAGTCAGTATAAAAATATCTGGCGCTGCTGTAAATAATAGGCCTTGAAAAATAGGGTTTGTTTTCAAAGTATCTTGGTCTTGTGCTAGCTCCTGTTCATCAACACATAATTGTGTGGCTAGTTTGTTTGTTTATTTTTAATGATGACTGTTCATTCTCCTCACAAATCAGGGAGGGGAGAAAGACTGCCTTTCCGAGAAGGTCTGAGAAAGACTGTCAAGTCTGTCTTGATACAATTCTTTTGCACAGATTTACCTGGGTAGCACCTGAATATCAATAGTAGCAACATACTGATTTTAGAGAGTTCAGGTTCCTTCCCTTTTTCTTAATTCAATTTTCCTGTTAAATTGACTGACCAAGCCAGGAAATATCAAAAGAGAAGCTCACGCCACACATTGTGGAAGACATGCGCAGATTAGTTGTGGAAGAACTTGGCTGGAGTCTTCTTCCTTTTACCATGTTCCAGACATGATTTTATCTTACGGTAACAGAAAGTTTTCCATACATTGATTTAATCACCACAGATGGTATGACTCACCCTTTTGCTCAGTCGTTACATTAGCATTTGGATCACTGTAGTTCCCTGGAGATTACACTTTGTTTCCATGTGCAGTGTGATTTCTCTAACTTGTTACAAGTAGTTAATAAACAGCAAGTCTTGACAAGGTCTTTTGTCTATAGGATATTAGAGATTTTTATCATTTTTAAAAGTCAAAGTATTTCATAACATACTTATGTACTTTATTATTATAATAATGATGAAATTACTAAATTAAAGAGAAGCATGGTTCATGGCTTGGGTGTGTGCATGCTCACCTCTATCCTGTCAAAGTTAGCAGCCTCACATGGATGAACTCCTCTAATTCTGCCCAGCTTGTTACAGAATTAAGGAAGGTGTTTCAGATGCTTTCAATTCCGTAAGCGTCAATACATCACTCAGGAGTGTCGCCGATGAATAAGCTCTGAGTGTGTGCTTTGCAGGCCAGTGAGAAGATCGTGGCTCAGGCAGACCTCTGCTTTCAAAAAACTCAGTGTCAGCATCTGCAGTTTCACAAGGTGCGACTGTCCTTTGCATAAGGCACCTTGAAATTTTAGGAGGAAATGCATTTGAAAGCTAGATACCAAGTCCTTTTAGTATTCACCCCTATGTTCTTTGTTTAAGGAAAACAGGAATCTTTGGAGCTTGACGTCTTTCCATACGAGTGAGATAAAAACTTCAATGCAAATGTGCCCAGTTTTTTTTGATGCAAGTCCTCTTTCCATTTCTCCCAGAGGTTTCTGGAAAATATCCACAGCTTTGAACTTGCTTTTAGAATGCTCTTTGTAAATCTGAAATGAGGCAAGCTAACCCTGCTGCAGGCAGTAGTGTGCCACTTGTACCTGCCTTCCAACATGATTTGGCTCAGGTCCCCAAGGTTTTTGGACTCTTCATATGCTATGTTAGTACTTTTAAGTAAAAGTCTGACTGTGTAGACAGCCTCCCTGGTTCCATATATTTATATAGATGCTTACATGTGCCTGTTACTATGTAGGCTCCATGCTTCAGGTTCTTACAGTATTCCTTTTTTGTCAGTTGGGTCTTGTGGGTTTTTTTTTTTTTCCCCCCACAGAGTAGTGCTCAACCTGTCTGTCAATTAAACTCTTGGCTCCAGAGGCATAGAAATCAGAGGCTTTCACTTGTGTCTAATATGAACTCTAAAGCTAATTTCTATGAATGCAGACTTCTAAACATTTATCTGTGTAAGTTTACAATGTGGTGAATCCTTTAGTTTCTGTCTGCAAGACATTAAAGACATTTTTGAAAAACAGTACTCTATATATTGTCTATGACTACACTAAACTGTTGTCTTGTTGATACTGTTTATTTTAAGTTCTATTTTAGGGGCAGCTGGCTTGCAGCTTAAAAATATTTGATGTTAAATATAAGACAATTGAACTAAGCAAATCAGATTTTTGGTTTGTTTGAGATAAGATTCTGAATTTTATATACACTGAATTTACATTTAATAGTCTCCTTGTGTGGTTGGTATCACTGTGGTATTTATATTTTGGTTTTGTCATGACTGGTTTGTCATTTGTTTTTGTGCAGGAGATCTTGTTGGATAATTCTGTGTTGGTAGGTCCCCGTGCCTTGTTAATCCTAAAAACTTCAGCACTTTGCAGTGTTGTTTTTTTTGTTTGTTTTTTTTTGTTTTTTCCCTCAACTTTTATCTCTTCTTTTTAACCATTTTTCATGTAAATTCTTTTAAGCATGTGAAGTGACATTCATTTGATTCTCATTCTAACCAGACCCTTCCTAACTTTCTGCAGCTGGCACGCATATATATCATTTGTGACATCAGTTTTGATTTCGACATGTGCATTGAAGAAGGGAACTACTTGTTTGTTTAAGTTTGTATGTGATGCTTGCATTTTGTGTTTGTTTCTTGTTCCTGTCCCCTAGTTTAAGTGTGGGAGAATGAGAAATGAAACATGTGTATCGTGTATTTTCCAGTAGCCTGAATGCGGTCCTCTGGTTTTCCCCTATTAAAAATGAGCATGCAATTTATGCATGTCCGACCTGCAGGAGAATGTGTAGCCTGCTTGAATAGGTGTTACATTAAAAGCCTTACTGGCTGTTTTTAAAATTCCCTTAAAGTATCTTGCAGATATACTGACTGAGTCAGGTTTTCTACAGTGTTTGCAGAGAGCGCATCCTTGTGTGTGTGAAATGTATAATTCTAAGTCTTGCAGATTCACGTGCATGTATAAAAATTCAGAAGGCACAGCTTAGTTCTATTAATGTATCAAAGCTGAAATTCCGTGGCACTTGCTCTCTATGTCCTTGACTTGGTATTTGGAATCTCATTTTGACTAACATATATTGACCTATCACTGATGAATGAGGAGCATGATCTAACTGAAAGTTTTTGCTGCAGCAGGCACTCAGCTCTATCTTAGTTTTGATGGCAATAGCTATGGGTACAGAATTAATCAGTTGTCAAGGATATTCTTTCTCAGTTACATGCATCTATATTATACATCTGTTTGGTTGTTTAATCCAAACTGATGATAAATATTGGTGTAGTTATGCTACTTGCCCACACAGCTGATTCATTGTATCTGTGGATCCCCTTCAGAATAGACTGCGAATTAAAGCCTTCCTTTCCCCCATGCTCAAAAAAAAAAAAAAAAGGCAAATCCAATACCTCCACCCTAATAAAAAAATATTGAGGCAATGTTTGTGGGGGGGTTGTTTTTTGAGTTTTCTGTTTTTCTGCCTGTAATGAAAAAAACATGATAATGCATTTCTTCTTCTTACTAATATAAAAGCCAGATCCTGGCCTGATGATTTAAAAAAAAATCATGGTGCCGTAAACTTCTTTTTGCAGAAAACTGCTCATGGGAATTATCTCCATGTAACATATTCATCAGTAACTCCCTGCTACATTCTCTAAAACATAATTTAGTGTAAAAATACTTTTTGGAAGTAATAACAGCAGTGTTCTTTTGGCCCTTTCTTGCAAGCTTCCTTTCGTGCATGGAGTTCAGAATTACTAATGCCTGGTTATCTGTTTCATCCTTGGCTACATCAGCATTTTCATAGTTGCACATGATGATATGAATATATTTTCATGCACTGAGTTTTCCAAACTGTTATGTATAACCCGTAGTGCAACAGTAAACTTAACAGTTGTTCACTGAGACCATGATTCAGCTGTCATTGGAGCTAATGGGGGTCTTTGTGCTGACACCAGAGGGAGTTGGATCTGGCCTTGGACCCAGTTTTGTAATTTACCTTGAGGAGGAAAATATTAGAAGTACTGATACCATAAAGTTGATGATGATGGTTGTCAAACCTTTCATTTGGGGCTTAAACCAAAAAAGCTGAGTAAAAATCAATTGCATGCTTCTTGACTTCATGGATTATTTAATAACTAATTGGTCAGAAAACAACAGCTGTACCAAGTTACTCCTAGAAAGGTTTGTCAGCCAACTTATTCTTTGCGCTTGCGTGTTTCAGGTGAACCTCTGTAGCTCTTACTTGTTACTGAGACGTGCGGTGGTAGCTTGTCTGCGTCAGCTCGTGCAAAGAGAAGCTGCTGAGGTATCAGAATATGCTGTTGCTTTAGTGAAAGAGAGCCGAGAAGATTTTACTCCAGGTAACATGGGAATTTTGAGATCCAGGAATCTGGCAAATTGCTAGTGATTTCTAAACATGCTTTGCTCTCTCCTACTGGTATGAAAGTAACTTTGGGGCTTTTTGTTTATCTGTTTGTTTTTTAAGAGTCTTTAGCTCAGAAAGATATTATACCAAATTTAGAAGTACCGAATCCTTTTTTCACTCTTTTTCCTATAGTATAGATAGTAAAAGTCTCCAAATCGGAAAATTTAGATGTAGCTCTAGAGTAACCTGGATCTATTTAACCACTAGCTATTATGGTTACTGCTTCATAGTACTGGATTTTGCATCTTAGGTTCATAATTAATTTTATTTTCACACATAAATTTCCTCTTAAGATAAAAAATCTGTGCTTTGAGGGAAGGTGCACAAAACTTGCTAAAGAAAGTTTCTATTGATCTCTTTGGAGACTCAGTTAAGGGGAGAGTCCCTGAGGTGGGTCCCTGGCATTTTAAACTTCCTGAAGTTGTGGAGGGAGTTTGCTTCTTTTTAGCTATGAGGCCTGATTATATTTGCTAGTTCATCCTTATGTGTCCTTTTGTGAGATGATGGTGGTACCACCTGATTTCACTTTGAATTTCAGTTCAAACTCATTCAGAATTTTTCAGAGAAGATGGATTATAGCCATTCTGTAAAAATGGTGATTTTTAAATTGTTAATATTTAGCAAACAAAAATTGATCATCTTCATTTAACGGATTATTTCTGTGTGTCTGTTTCTGTCCTACATGGAGAATAATTTCAACTTCCCTTTCAAGTTAAAAGATGCTTCAGAATTATGTTGCGAATCAGTGAACCTCTTTCAGGGGCTCGGGTGCTGTGGCACTGATAGTGTTGTAAAAATCAGAGTAGCATTCCTGTTTTTTTTTTGTTCTGGTGAAATTACCTTCGTGGTGGCTCGTTCAGAAATGAAAAGCTTGTGTACCCAGATGCTTTAGACAAGGCATTAAAGCAATTAATTTTATCGATCCAAAAATATTCCAGGGCTCTGTACTTGCTGTTTGCAACATACAATATGCACAGTCTTTAATGGGGTCTCTGTAGTGATTTATGCAGGTTTGTGATGTAGGGATCTCAACTCAGAGGCTTTGTTCTTAGCAGATGTTAACATCAGAGAAATAGGCCTGGAAGGAGCATTGCTGGGCTTGCTGGACAAGGAACTGGATCCAAGATTGTGCCAAGATATCAAAGAGACTCTGACTCATATGCTGACTTCAATGGCAGTTGAAAAGCTCTCCTTTTGGCTGAAGCTGTGTAAAGATGTTCTTGCTGCATCAGCTGGTAAGTGCTAGAGACTCTAGTTGAATGCACTGAAAGTAGGGCCTGCAACAGCACGATATGTCAGTGAGGTAGTCTTCTTTCTTGAATGTTAGGTATTTATGAAGTATATCACACTTGCATGTGGAAACACTGGTAACTAACTTCCTTCAGAAAAAATATGACTTTTTTGTCTTTTGAAAGCCTTTTCCTTATTGTGTTCATTTTGTGAAAAAAGAAAACAACAAACAAACAACAACAACAAAAGAAATTTCCTATTCATGTTCTAGTTGATTTGTAGGTCTTATGTTAGCTTATTTGCATATCAGAAATGGACATGCAAACTAGATTAGAGCTTGTAGGCCCTGCATGAGTGCCAACAAGAAAAGTATCCAGACCTTCTCTGCTGTTAGTGATAGGAAAGATGTAGACCTGTTATATCATAGTGAATCTTCTGAGCAGGTGAAATTAATTACTGTGCTGAATATTGTGACAGTTTTTTTGACTTGGTATGCAAAAGGAAAATGATTTGAAAAGCTAATAGCTTCTCTTCGATCACACTTATGTAGGCAGGGTGTGTTTTTGGTTTGTTTGTTTGTTTCCTCTTTCTTTGCATTCTTTCTTCTCGACTTACTTTCATGGTGTTGATCTTGTTTTCCAGCAAGTCCTATCTAAGAAATGCAGACAGTGCATGCTATATCTTATGTTTAATTCTAGCAGTGTTTTTAAGATGCGACAGCTGAAGAAAGTAATAGTGGGAGTGTAAAGAGCACTTCAAAGCTTGTTTCTTACAAGTCCTGCTGTAGTTTCGTAGTCTCAGTAAAAAAAAAAAATTATATATATACATCTCTTCATTTTTTCCTGTATAGATTTCAATACAGTAGCTTCACTGGATACTACTCAAGAAGAGGAGACTGCTAAAGCAGACGATGCATCTGTATTAACCTCTGCAAGTGATGAGAGGTCCCACCCTTTCAGTAATCCACGTTGGTCTACAAGAGTTTTTGCTGCAGAGTGTGTTTGTAAAATTATCAGCCAGTGTGAAAATGCAGACACTGCTCATTTTGACATAACTTTGGCTCAGGAAAGAAAACAACGTGATTCAAGAGGTATGGGTGAGACTTCGTAAGACATTCACAGAATACACAGTGTGCTTAAAATAAATGTTGTTCTCTTAATGAAATTTCTTCTTAAATTTGTTTCTTTGCAACCACTGAAATGTTGTGATTAGAAATGTGTATTTATTAAGGTGTAGAGCAATTTTAATTAGGCAAAATATTGGCATATCACTACAGCAGTTGCACTCACTTTCCTGGGTGTGTCATATGCATGAGACATTGTTTCTGCATAAGCATTGGCAGCCAGAAGTGATTGCTGGCACCTGCCTGCAACAACACAGCTCATCATCTGGACCTTTGACAAAAAAAGCTTTCTATTTTTTTTATCTCTCCATAATTTGCGTAATTACCAGTAGAAACACAGTGCCACTTCTGCATACTTCTCTCTCTGTGTTTATCTGCTTTATATGTAAAGTTATTGATTTTTTTTTTCTTTATTAGTTTTTACATTCAAAGGGAAAGATGCCTATATCAGCTGGTATAGGAGGTACAAGAGAGATCACTGTGTGTGTAAACTGCTTTCAGGGAATCTTTTCCCTGAAAGGGAAATCTTTCAAAACGTGAAATACCTATTTTGAGAGTATTGGGAGCAATAGTATAAAATATATTATGATATCTATTTCAAATTTAACAACCTTTTTTTTTTTTTTTTTTTTTTTTTTTTTTACCATTTTTATTTCTCTTCAGATGACTTCTTGGTGTTGCATTTAGCTGACTTGATACGTATGGCTTTTATGGCTGCCACAGATCACAGCGATCAGCTCCGTCTTTCTGGACTTCAAATGTTGCTAGTTGTTGTTCGGAAATTTGCAGCTGTTCCTGAACCTGAGTTTCCAGGGCATGTAATTCTGGAGCAGTATCAAGCCAATGTAAGCACCACTGCTAATAAGTTAGAAAAATGTAAAGCGGCAGTTACTAAAAGAAATTTTCTTTTTGCAGTATCCAGTGCTGCTGTTGGGTTCCAGCTAGTTGTTACTGTAACTGGGATTACTTTCAATTTTAACTCACTTCGAAGGCATGTTTTCAGTTAGTCAACTTTAGAACCAAAGTTTTTGAAGCCCAAGAATTTTTCCCACTTCCTTATTTGAATACAGCTAAGACTAAACAGAACATGGTGCTTTTTTTCTAGAAAACATTGATTTCAAAGTGTGGGAGTGTTGCAAAAGTACTTAGGAACAACAGACACTTCGAACTCTGCTTAATAATAAGTAGCTTTTGCACACACAGTTATCACATGTATCGAATAATTGTTATTGTGGATACTGACAGTCTCAGGGAGGATGGTGCCATTGCACTGGACATTCTATACATAGGATATATGCCTATACATAGAAAATACCAAGTACTTTGTATTTTCATCCCAAAGAATATCAGAGTTAAATGATGTCTGAAAACTCAGACTTAAAGCAGCCAAGGGAATTTTCTTCAGCCTTTAGCAAAAATAGCCTTTAACCAAGAGAGCAGCTGAAATCTTGGAGAAGTGCTCAGTAGGGGTTGAGTGTTCTTTGCTGGGTGAATGGGAATTTTCTTCTCCCCCTCTCTCACTTAGCCAAGTTGACCAGCCTCAGCCATTTGTTTCTGTAAAGCTCTATTCTTAAGGAAATGTCACTCATTAGGTGTCTTGTAAGCCCTTCACGGTTTTGAACAATGTTTTTATTTTATCTTGAGGACTACTTATTAAATCAAGACATCAGGTAAGAAGAGGTTTTTGTTTCATGTTCAGTGTGTAGAAAGAATAGAAATTCCTTTGAAGATGCCTCTCAAAGATAACAAAATCTTCTGAGTAAACAAAAGAAAACAATCTCACCAAAACAGTCTGGCAAAAATAAAGGAAAAGTGCAATATAGTCTGCTTGTGGTTACTTGCTTATACTCATTATATATTAAATGGTTTATAACTTTTCTTTAGGTTGGAGCAGCACTTAGGCCTGCCTTTGCCCCAGAAACGCCCCCTGATGTCACAGCAAAAGCATGTCAGGCAAGTGTTCAAAGTCACTATTCCTAAGTAGTTAACCCTCTGAAATTTTATTTTTCCTTGTTAGGTCACATGGAATAATAAATCATCAAGTCCTAAGTCATTAATGCACACAACATGATGTCAACCATGTTGCCTGGATTGGGTAACATCTGAGATTTTATGTACTTTAGAATCTTTTGAGAAACTTTGTAGCAGGTGATACTTCAGTTGTTAAATATTTATGGCATCTCTCTAATGATTTTGGCTTTATCACTTATGCATACTGAACTGTAATGCCATTTAACATTGGTTGTAATCTGGGATATATTGAGTAGAGATGAAATGTGTTTCACATCATTTTATAGTTGGAGAAAGGAGTAATCACTTGTTTTTTGGCTGTTTTTCCTAACTATTCCTGTTTTATGACACTAGGTGTGCAGTGCCTGGGTAGCAAGTGGGGTAGTAAGTGACCTTAGTGACCTTCGAAGGGTTCACCAGTTGCTAGTATCCTCCTTGGTCAAAGCCCAGGCTGGGAAAGAAGCACAAAGTCAACAGTATAATGAAAGCACCTCAACTATGGAGATCCTGGCCGTGCTTAAGGCTTGGGCAGAGGTTAGTGTAATGCTCTGTAAAAGATAGTCTTGCTTTCTAGGGGAGTGAGAACCTTTCAGACAGAGTGTTTTCAGGAAATATGCTCCATTAAATAGTTGCTTGTGCTTTTCTTTGCCTTGATTTCTCCAAGCACTGCATGAATACCATTCCTGCCTAGGTTAAAAAATAAATGTGATAAAAGAGATGCTTTGTGATCTTGAAAATGGCACAGCTGGTTAAATTGGTTACATTCTATTTTAAATTGGGAAGGTATAGAGAGTTACGGAGACGTTCCACTGAACCTACCCATTTTAAGTGTTCATCGTATCCTGTCATTGTTTATTGGCATTGGCAGCTCCCATGGATGCCTGTTTTAATATGTGTAAATGTGACATTAAATATTAAGAATTAGCAATGTAATGCCTAGATGAAGTGTGATCCTATTTCCTGACTTAAATTCTTACACGTTTCTTGTTTCTAGAATTTGACATGTTATACACTTACGGATATTTTTTTCTTAAGCAAATTAGTTTGGGAGAGTGAGCCTCGGTCAGGTTTCGTGCAAGTGGAATAAGAATCGATAAAGGAATAGAGTTAAAATTACTGAGATAACAAAACAAAATAGCATTTGTAAAGATGTAACATGCAAAGAACACTTTGTTAATACAACCCAGTTTCAGTCTGTGGTATCCAAATTTGTGTCATTTTCACATGTGAAGTAAAGGTTTTCTTTGGACGCACTACTTTTGTAAAGTTTTAACCAAGAAATGGCTCCCTCCAATGCAGACTGGGGAATACTGCAGGCTTCTGAGTGTAGTTATGAGCGTGATCATCGCTGCGTTTAAATTTCTTGAACATATTGAACTAAATTGAAGTAAATGCAGATAAACCTGAATGTCTGTTGTCTCAATCTCTTCCCAGTATCCCTGTCTGAAGTAGCTGACAATGAAACCGCTACAGGCCTTTCTCCTGCCTCTTCCCCTCATCAGAGTCAGTCCTATTTTAGTCCAGACTGGAATAAAATTTATGTTTTTGCAGTATTAAAAAGAAAAGATATAAATAAGGTGCCCTTGCTAATTCACAGGTATAATATGAATGATATCTTTGGAAAAATAATAGTGGAACCATTGATTAAAGGACTTGATAAAGAAAGAACTATAGGATTATACAACTACAGGTTTGCATATACTTAAAGAAAGTAGATCTCACCAAAGTAGCTTTCAGGAGTACAGGCAGTGTTTGTTAAATACTTAGATTTGAGTGAGATCACTTGAGCCTGCATAATAAAATATGAAAAAATGATTGAAACTGGTCTCAATAAGTTCTACCAGGCATCTCATAGTTCTTTGACTGCAACTATAAAAATTGAAGGATGTGCATCTGTCAGACTTGTTCTTAACACTAAAGAGTTTAACATTTTTAGGAGTAACCTGGAAAAGGACAGAGAAATCCTTCCTGCAGGAAAGGGAGACTAACAAAGCAAAGCTGAGCTTAGCTGAACTGGTCTCCTATGTCTCCTCTCTGGCTGAGGAGGAGAGCTTCCCTCCAGGACATTGCTCAGAGGCTCAACTAAGCTGTTGGTCTGAAATCTTCTCTAACCTCTTTTTCAATTAACTAAAGAGGCTAAGAGGTTCAATTAACTAAATTAACTAGGGAAATTAGCCTTCTCGGGCTGAAGCTAACCTTTTGATGATAACACTCAAAGTCTGAAGTGATGCAAGATTGTCCTTTTCATCATTTGCTGTTAACAGAGAGTAATAACAGACATTTGAAAAGTTGGTTACAGTTGTGATGTGTAATTTCACTGAAATGAGACTACGCAATTATTTTTACAATGGTTTCATGATTGTAGGTATATTAGAATCATCAGGATCATGATCACAGGTATAGGATAATAGGTTCTTTAGCTGCAGTGATTAAAACTAGTAGGTTTTGGTAGTTGGGAGCTGAAGCTTGACAAGCAATACATACTTTTTTTTCTAGGAGTTTTAAGAGTGAGGAGATAAACTGAAACTGCATTTAAGGTTTTTAGCAGATTTTCCTTTTTTTTTTTTTTTTTTTTTTTTTTTCCCATATGCTTGCATCAGGATTAGATGGATGAGGGAATTCTGAAGGCTTAGAAAATAAGTGCTGATTTAACCATGCCTACTTGACATAAGAATTAGTTCTAGGAAACCATAGGCCTGCTAAACAAGCAGCTGTGTTTGTGATCATGGTAGCTTTCCAAGTATTTCCAGAGTTTGTGAATCTTTCTCTTTTCCTCCAAATATTTAAACAGGTTTACATAGTTGCAGTTGAAAAGCAGAAAAATCTAAGCGATGCACACAATCACTCTTTGAAAATTACCAGCTCTACAGAAGAAAGCTACAGAGAGACAGGATCTTCAGTCAGCGGGCTCCTGGAACTAGTTCAGGCAGATCTGGGAACCCTGAGCAAGCTCTGGCTTGCTGCACTCCAGGACTTTGCTCTCTTAACTTTGCCTTCAGAATATGCATCTCAATTACCTGCTGAAGGTAGGAAGGCAAATGAATTGTATTTTCATGGATCCTTTGCAAATACATGTCACAATATCCTAGCTAACTTGAGGATGTAAATTATACAGTGAATAGGGCACATATTTGTGTACCTATCAAAAGATAATGACTGCTTTTGAGAACAGTTTTCACTGGTAGGAAAATAGTATTTGTTTGTTTTTTTGTTTGTTTGTTTTAGATTTCTATGGTTTAAAAAAGGATGAGATAATTGTATTGCATTCTGTCTGTATAAAGTGTCCTCATTATCCTGAATTTCAATATTGCATGCTTTTTAGAAAAAGACAAAATACAGTAAACATCATTTCAATAAGATGATGAATCTCAGCTATCTAAGAATGAGAAATTATTGTAACTGAAAATAAATCACATCCTTGGAAACTGTAAATTCTTCTCTTGTAGGTGGTACGTTTTATACAGCAGAGACAATTGAAAATGCCAGACCTCATTACTACAACTCCTGGGCGCTAATACTTTATGCTGCAGCATTATGGCTTACTAGCACAGGTTTTATCGTTGCTGATCCAGATGAAGGAGTAACAAACCTTTCCAGACCTGTCACCCCAACTACAATGTGTCAAGATTCTTCTTCCAGACCCTTGGTGAAATCTCCTGAGGATATCAATACTGACAGATTTCATCTTATCTTGGGTTAGTGAGCGCATAATTTGTCTTGATGCTGTAAACCAAAAGGCATTTTAATAGCTATAAACCTGTTGGTGAAGAAATACTTAATTGCCCATGCCTGACTGCATTATTGAATATTGAATCTCTCTGCAAAACGTGTGATCAGAAGAATTTTAAGCCCTAATGACAAAATTGTATGTTTCCCCAATTGTGCTTAAAAAAAGTAAAATACACAGTGTGAGCTGAGTTTCAGTTTACTGCTTGGCCTGTAAGCGTGCAAGTTCAGGTTTAAGCATAGATCTAATCTTTGTTGTAGCACTGCAATTACAGAGTGTTTCACTGAAGTTACACTGTTTCACATAAAGCTCTGTTCAAGCTTCCTAACTGCTACTTTCAGGCTGTTCAGGCAGTTTCGTTTGGTCCCAATTCTCTAAATTTACACACTGTAGACATTCCTAGTTATATTGTTTCTTTTTGGTCTCTCTTTTGTACTCTTGTTTTGTTCTTCTTGAAATGAATTTATATGACCCAGACACATATGACTTCCCTTTTCAGTCACAGAATTTTCTTCTCCTTATATACAGCCAGTTTTCCATTTTAACTTTGTTCCTGCTTCCCTTTAACTTTGTTGCTTTCAGTGAAAAGTGGACTTCTAAGACATAAAGCACTTATTTTCCCTCCTTGTTAGTGCTTTACGTTTTATGTACTTTACTAAGGACACATGCCACTTTTAGTCTGTTTCTGAAGTTGATGCTCTTGTTCATTTTTCTCTTTGTACAGAGAAACCTGAAGTCCTTTAAATAGAGACATCTTTTTTGTAGTGCAGCAGTTTTTTTTAAATGTACATTGATTAGTGTTCCAGGTCATCACACATTTATGGAATTAGATTTGTATAACAAAATTGAGAGTATGGCTCTCAGAACATCAAGTTTCTCTTCAGTGCCATAGAATATAATTTGAAGAGTGTTCAGAAAGAAGCAGTTGTTTTTTCTGATCTAGGATTTGCAAGCATTTTGTTCATGTAGTGTATTTTTAGTTGGTAGTCCAGTTGTGGTAAGCATATGGTTAGCTGCAATCTTGGAATTTTTGCGAAATGGGAAGACTAAGTCTCAGCCTTTGACTTTGTGAGCTGTTACTGCTTTCTCTGTCGTTTCGTTGTATTACAGAAGCCAGTATGGTTAGGCAAGTATTCTGCTATGCTGCTGTTATGAATTGCCACCAATTTTTTGGACCTAGAACTCCCTGTTTTACTCAGAAATTGTTTGTGGGGTTGTTCATTTATTTTGTTTATATTGTTTGTTTGTTTTTTTGGCAATAGCTGGTTATAATCATTTTTTTGTACTGCCTAGAAGCAGAAGTCCTTTCATGTTGTGTTGGAAATAGGGTTTTTGCTCCAAATTTTTGCAATAGGAGATCAGTTCACTGGTGCAAATGTTATTTCCTATGTCTGTTCACCACAGACTACTTAGCTTAATTTACAAAACTACTTTTTAATTTTTCAAGATTTTTTTTTCTGTTGTTTACAGGAATTAGCGTGGAATTTCTTTGCTCCCCTCGATCAGATACAGCGATGGAGAACATTGTGGCCTGCTTACATGCTCTACAAGCACTCTTTGATGTTCCATGGCCGAGGTCTAAAATAGGGGGTGATCAGGTAACAGTAATCAAAATCCCAAACAGAAGTTCAGGGATTTGGGAAGAGGCTTTCTGTCTCTTAAACCCCTCAAAGTCCATAAGGGCTTGCTGCCCTATGGCACTGGACAAGGCCAATTTTCCCTAAATCACCTTCTCCATTCAATGACTAAACAGTATGCTGCTGTGATAACTGGTTTAGAGGAAGTGAATGCGATTTATTGTTTGGTAATGAGTGTAATATCTGATTATCAGTTTCTCTTCATCTAAAACAGTCCTATTTATTACAGAGGAACATTATGTAGTCTGTTCATGGCATGGAAAGTCTTAAGTACATTCTATTCTGTTGTCAATTTGTCTTCAGTGTAATCTTTGCTTACTTGTAGCATGTGTGCTTTATGCGTGCTCCATATCAAAAGAAAATATTTTTATGCATATTTGGTGATATTTATGATTTTTAGACAGAATTGACTTAAAACTCTATGAAAATTTTTTTGAAAAGGGAACTTAAGTGTATATAAATCAAGAGAGAACTAAGACTTTTCTGGCATAACTAAAGTCTTCTACTTTCCAATTCCTCATTTAAAACAAGGAATTGTGTGAATTTTAGATTCAGAATCATATTTCATATGCAGAGCTGTCTTGCTCTTGTTTTTCTTCATTGTAATCAATCAGAATTTGTATATGCATTGTGCAATATGTATTATGTGTATACCTGTGTTTAAATAATGTCTGTTTCAATAACGTTTGTTTCACTCATTCATTATTTTCAGTAATGTTTTGTTTCATTAGTCAAATCATGTTTAATGGAATATTTACATTACATTTTTATTTTCTTTCTGTTCCTATGGTTAAAATTCAACAGCTCAGAAATTTAATATCATGAGGAAAAGAATGTTGTTGACACAACCTCTTTTCTTGAAAAACTTTTAAGAGTTATTCAGAAAATTCAGAAACAGATAATTTGGTTTTCAAATGAAATCTTCAGTGCATGTGAAAGCTCACAATGCCTTTGTGCATAAATAAACAGGATTCTTTAGCTTTTGAGGTTAGGTGAAGGGGAGAGACTTTCCAAGAGAGTGACAGCAAATATATATATTCTTAATTTGCTATTCTACCACATATAATCAATAGAAAAGTTGTTTTGCAGCATTGAGTACTTGCTTATCTGAAAATGAGAAATTCAATAAATGTATAAAAAGTGAGGGAATCTTTAATAATTTAAAGTTTTTCCTGGGCAAATATCTGCAATGAGGAAACATCTTCCAGTATGCTAAAGTATACATTTCTGTCAGTACTCTCTCTGTTTTGAAGAATTAGGTAGAAAAGGCTCTTTTTCTTACTTTGAGCCTGACATCCCTAGAAGTCAGAATGAAGGAATAATTTTAATGTGGACACTATCCCCACTGTCTGCTATGCAGCCAGGAGTCTGCAGGAGAGGAGCAGTAGGTGGCTTACGTGCTTTACCAAGACCCAAAGTTGTAGAGGGAGGAGAGAGAAAGAGCACAACACAGAACCTGTGTTGATGGTGAGGAGTAGAGAAGCGAAGGAGATTGTTCAGAAAGGACTAGTCACCTGAGAGCCAGGCAAAGACACAATCCCAGAATGCAGAGGTGACAATTTCAAGAAATATATCATTAGTTGGGGTGGAATGGCTGGCAATTCGGAGTCGGTGGTGCCAGATTCAGTGGAAACAAGATTGCAAGGGACCTCAGTGAGAGCAGGTTTGTTGGTTGCAAGGGAAGCTGCTCTAGGGAAAGGCTGA